ACGCGTCTGCCTCCGCGACCCGAAAGGAGAAGCGGCGATGGAAGATGAAGATGAAGATGAAGATGGAAAAGGCATATTGTATACAGAAAAGAAAAACAACCGAGTAACGGCTGACTATTAAAAAAGTCAAGAAAAGGCGCTGGCTGCTGATATCTCAGGTCGAATACTGAGCAGATAGAAGGGAAACAGGAGATACTCTTTTGTTTCATAAAAACTTTAAGGTTAGCAACACTCATTGCCATTTCAACTTTCGAATATAAGGATTTCAGCAGAACAACGCTCTCTTTCTTCACTAGTTTAGTTTCAAATACGTGTTTAACAAAATATGCGCTATCGCTATTTCACTCTCTCCGTCAACGGAACCGATTCGATTAAGGAATGACTTGCTATCACATGCTGCGACCTTGATATAGCAAAACAGTGCTTTACAACAATTTTTAAACCGTATCCTCCCCTTGCAGAAACCGTTGTAAAATAATGAAACTAATGTGTATTAATTCACTAATTAATAGGAGTCAAAAAGCCAGAAACTCACGTACGGCGCTACACTTATCCCCAGCAAACAGCGTGTCGTTCGCCGACCAGCAACAGTGTTCGCGGTCGAACCAGAAGGCGTCTGGACAAACGCCTTCCTTGAGATCGGTCATCCAATTTGTACTGATGTCGATGATACCAGCGTCGCAGCCTAAGAAACCAAAAAAATATGATTTTTGTTTCTATTCTGAGAGAAAAAAATATTACCGGCTGCAATTCCGACCAATAAAACGCAAATCCAGCCAGAGCCGGCGTCAAAAATCCCGGATATCAAGTTGCATATCGACTCACGACTTTTCTTTAAGACAAACTTGTGGCGTAATCGATCACGAGCCAAATCGCGCTGCCAGTCGATCGTGTGAAAGTCGTCGTATTGGCCAAAGCCAGGAGGATACTGTTCATGATCTTCCGCGTCAATCATTTCGTCCACGTCTGAATTTCGAAACGGTCTTTCATACAGTGAATTAGTATTACGTGTGATTTTATTTTTGATTTTCTCGAAAGTAGGCATATTCTATCATGTAAACGCGAAAAATTAAAAAAAACTACGAAAAAAAACAGTCTATAAACAAAGCACCATATTTCAGATTCAACAGCAGAAACTAGGTTTTGATAATGCCCTGGTGCATAATATCCACTTGTCGATTCAACTTTTCTTGCGAACCTGAAAGGTAGTACCCCTTTATAACACTTAGGAGCAAATCGACGTTCAATATCTAAATTAGGAATTCACCTGAAGGCAGTTTCCGATCTGCTGTATCCTTCTGTTGGCTCATTATTCAACGAATTCGTCGGAAATTTGGCTTTAAGATCATCCATGGTTGAAAACCGAATACAACATCCACGAATCAGTATCACTGATTCCGTTTCCAGTACTAATACCAACGCTTTGCTTATCTCCTGCTCGCGAGGTTGAACACCATTCACGTCAGACGTCGTCGAAACTGACCTCGAGATCGGTCATTTGACAATCAATGCGATACTGGCGTTAAGGGTAGGTTAAGAAATGCACAAGGAATTCAGTAGCCAGCTCCTGCTACCTTGGTCTACGTAAATCTAAATTCGATGTTCGTTTTGGCACTCAAGGATAAGGGTGCCCCAAC